TGTGTGTAGGTGTGTATGTGTGAGTGAGTGTGTAAGCATGACAGGGAGTTTTTGTGTATACTTATGTGCATTTTTTGTCACAAACATTAAAGCCAACCAAGATATCATTGCTTTAAAATACTTTAGAAGGATAAGAAAACATAATTCAAAGTTTTTGAATTGGATTATTCCACTTATACAATGAATAGCACAATATAGTATTCATGTTTATAATTAGTTTCGACATTTTGGTAAATACCCTTTTTCGCTTTCTTGTCGAGAGTAGATGAAAGCATCGATACAACTATTATTCCCGTACATTTAGTATGGAGCAGGACTCTGAAGGCAGTTAGCCTAGCTCAGCATAAAGTCTTGTGTCTGGATTAAACAAAGGAGATACAACATGTTTGTTTGTGAGCTTTAGAGGCGCTGATAGGCATATTTTTGATTTTTCAAGAGAGTCAGACTAGCTGTTTCTCCTTGCTTCCAGTCTTTATGCTATTCTAACCTAAGCTAAAAGCCTCCTGGCTCCAACTTTGCATTTAATGCGTTCCCAAAATGTTAAACTATTCCCTCTATAGTCCGCAAAAACAAAGCTGGAAAGCCAAATTTTGAATTAAAATCACAAGTTTAAAATCTGTGTTGTTGTATCCACTGCATCCAAAGTAGAAGTGGTTGAATGTGAACTCAGAATGACTGTGTTGCTTATAAAAATCACATGCATGGCTATACTTTAAAAATTGATCGATTTTGATTTAGTAGAGGAATAAGAGTAAGACTGCAGGCCAGAGTGAAAAGTTGTGTTTTTCAGTTTCTCTTATTCACGCCGCCTTTCAGACCGACGATTGTTCCATCAGGCTCCTCTGCTGTGAGGCATGTAGTGAGCACTGCTTGATTCATGAAGTATTCACATGTTCACAGATCATGTTGTAGTCCTGCAGACAAGAGCCAAGTCCCGCTGATGCTGCATTTCCTATGCTGTCACTCAGGACTATTTTGGTGGTTGTTGCTGTGGGTGGGTTGGGTTGGCGGGAAGGCAACCTGGGAAAAAGATGGAGAGAGAATATGCTCCCAGAGAGAATGAAGAGTCTGAATCTGGCTGTAGACACACAGGGCCTGTGTAATTGTCACCACCAGCAAGGGCTCACTGTTAAGTCAAAACGTGTTGTCTAATCAGCCTTCATGCTCTAAAAAGAGACCTCTGCTGTCATTTTCTGCCAAATTCTTTATATTTGATGCAGCTTTGGCGTATTGCATATTGCTCGAACCGTGCTGCTATGACACCATAAAATAATATAATTTGTGCCAGGAACAGGTTTTCCTCCAGAAAACTGTCAGTAGTAACAGCTGAGCAACATGACAACTGATATTGAAAGTGTCAGTTCAAGGATTTGATGTTTGGATAAGTCAGAGGGGATTTTTGTGAGATTTAATTATTTGCATTTATCTGTTTTTCTTTCTAATGCAGCACTGGTTGGAGTTCACAAAATCAATTGCAAAGCAAATGAAATGTAAGTACTTTAGGTTTATGTTTATAATCTTGGAAGATGGGCAATCAAATGCTCCAGTGAATGCCTGAATATATATTTGAGTCATACGAGATACTGTGGAGTTGTTTTAATTACAGAAAAATAAACACTCACAAATGATTAATCATTTGATTAATCATTTGTGTGTGTCATTTGTGTATTTTTGTTCAAGTGCAATTTGCTTGTTTTTCCCGTTATTGTAAATTCAATACTTTGGGGTTTAATGCTGTTAAACAGACAAAAAAAGACTTCACTTTGGGGCTTCTGTACTTTGTGATGGATCAGTATCATTATTGTTTTAGGGATGATACACATTGATCAACAGAAAAAACAACTGTCAGTAAGTTTGCCTAGAAGGCTAATTTCCATCTGTTGTCCCAGGCCACATGTTGAAAGGCAGCCTAAAAATATAATAATATAAAATGTATGTTTTAAAAAATTTAGATATACATACATACATCATAAATATGCACAAATAGTACAATAGTACCAATAAATAATGCCACAGGATAACATGGTATAATAATCCATAATAAATGAGTAAGTAAAGACCATAAACATGCTTCCCTAATAAGCTTTTTTACATTGGAGTACTCCGACATTTAATCTTCTAATTCATGCGGATAAATCTATGTCCCAAAACAGTTCTGCTGTCTACCTGAATCTCCTGTTTGATTGTTTGATCCCTTTCAATTAAAGTATTCTTGTCCATGTTTTAAATGTTTTGTGTTTGTTTCCTCCAGCTCAGCCTCCATTCACCATGTGTTTGAGAGTCAAGTTCTACCCTCCTGAGCCTGCTGCTCTCAAGGAGGAAATCACTCGGTATGACCTCCTGTTGTTGCTTTAACTTCAGATGAGTTGATAAGGACTCTGCAGCTTTAGCTTACCTTTGTTTCGATTTAAGAGTAAAGAAGAGAGGCAGTTTTTTCATGGAGATACTCATTTGACAAACTTGAGAAAAGCATCTGTGCTTTGGTCCTTGTTTCTTTATTTTTTTAATACCTTTTTTTCTGATTTGTCTGTAGATTGTGCTCTAAAAATTTTAAACAGAACAAACATATCTCTTTCTAAAACATTATTTACGGGCCTTCATAATTAAAATGCCTGAGTACTTTACTGTCTAAAACATTATGATAAATATTACGCAGAACACAGTTTGCAAGAGGAGTTGTGAGGCAGAGAGGGATATAAAAGCCTTCCCTTGTAGCTTAGTCTCTGAAAAACAATGGTTACAACTAATTAAACAACATCTTGTCAGATTTGCATGTATAAATGCACACATTACATTTTTTCCCATGGTTTTGCCTTCTAAATATCTTCCTCTCATAATATTATTTTCAAATTCATTTGCAGAAAGGTGAAAATGAAAAAAAAAAGAGTGACCCCTGCCTCCAGATAATGCTGAGAGTAGACATCTGGTATATGTGTGCATGTGCCGTTTACTGATGTATCCATCACTGACCAGAGTAAAGAGGAGACCGCTCGCTATCCGAGGTGTAATGAGATGAAATGTGCGCCACATGTAGAGTGTACATAATGAACAGAGCAGCTAGAAGAGATGGGGGGGGGCAAAGGGTGCTGATTGAGAGTGGAAAGGAAAAGGAGGCAGAATGAAAGGCTGGGGCGTGGGGGTGAGGACGAGAGGGAGTAATACATGATGATGAGAGTGGAGAGGGCAGACCACAGAGGGAGGGAGAGGGTAATCAATCACGTGCAAGGCTCATTCAGTGGGAGCTCCCTCACATCACATTGCAGAGGGATCTTTTTTAGAAAGCACATTAATGCCATATAAAATATTCTATAGACACCAAAAACGGGCAGCTTTTCCATGAATTACATTTTGACTGGACATAGTAGGAAAAGCACAAATGTTACTAATGACATTAACAATGGCTCTGTGCTATTCAAATGTCCCATTGAGCGAGCATGTACAATAGCAGGACCTTAAAACTGAAGCAGCTAGACAGAATTAAAGCATCATTAATTTTATTATTTAAGCCTCTGCTTTTCCTACTGTGACATGTATAAATGTCCTATGTGACATAGGCCTATTCAATATTATGCATTCAATATTTTACATACTTTCCAGGTGTGTTTCTGCAAAAA